CACAAACACACACACACACACACACGCACACACACGTATGCACACTTGCAGAAGATTCTGTCTGCGAACTGGCGTAAATAAACTACTGGATGGGACATGGCGACGTCTCTCATGGCTACCCCATAACAAGGCTTATCTGATTTCAACGCCTTCAGTTTTCGCCGACTCTCCTCTTATTTAACAAAGTTTCAACTGGCTTTCTCTCTTCATCACTAATCTTTTCCTGTTCTTTTGGTACTGGTGGAGTTTAGGAAAGTCTTCCATCAAAGCGAAAGAGAAATATGAAACGGATGGGCCAAGAAGGAGGGGTACATACAAATTAAGGGTAATTATCCTTATTTCTATGCCTAAGAGAAGAAAGCTTTTTACGTGTGCTCCTGATCTTGCGTGCATTTGAAACAATTTTAGGTTTAAACAGTAACGATGTAATAATATAGGGGCATCATTGTTATTTCTCTTCGAGTTTCCTTTAATCAACAGGTTATTGTTTAGTAAGACGAACACAATAACACAATAACGGGCATTTGCTAGAGTGTAAGACAGACAAAGAGAAACAAATAAAACGAAGCGAAAGAAAAGAAGTAGGACTTACCAGTGACAACATTTAACTATCTATAAACTATATAATAATATAACATGTGAGTATGTGAACCGAACTGGTGTTTGCCTTTAGTTGTCTGAAATAACACCCCAGGAAAGATTTGTCTGATTGCCTGAAACATTAACTCATGTGTTACAGGAAAAGGAACGTATAGAATACATTTAAACAACACCAACAAAAACAAAAACAACGACAACAACAACGAAAACATTGTAACAACAGTAACAGCGAACATAAAAACATAATCATCATCAACAAAAACAACAACAGCAACAAAATATACAGGCAGAAGGGATAAAAACAACAACAACAACTATAATAACAACAGCAACAACAGCAACGATAACAACAACAACAATAGAAACAATTATAAAACAACAATAACGAAAACAGATAATACAACAATGTGAAGAAATAGAACAACGGTTTAACTGTAGTTAAATATTTGAAAAGTATTCACCCCCACCACCCTCACACAATTTTTAAACATCCCCTCACCTCGAAAAAAGTTATGTACTTTGACTTGTAGTTGTGAACAAAGCCGAAAAGATCAATATGACAATATGAATAATTCAATGTAGAGTTCAACGATCAAGAATATCTAGATGATACTCTCGGAAACAAAACGTATGTCGAGGCATGCTCGATTATAACCTGCAAAGTATATATTCTATGACAGAACTCGTGTCTGATTCTGTCCTTCAAAAGGAACACTCTTTAAATGTATGAATGAATACACAATAATAAGGGTATCACGTTTCAGGTTATCTAGACTTGTTTGCTTTTCTTATTGGGGGGACTTATTTTCATAGCATTTAAAAACGGAAACAAATTTGATTTCGCTCTCTACTCTCAAACAACAAGGAAGCAAAGGCCACAGTTAAAAGAAAAAAAACATAGAAAGAAAAAAAAATTAAAATAAAAGAACGACAGCAGTGACGCTTGTAACCTAAACGACAACATCAATAACTAGTCAGTGACTCTATTTATAGAAACAGCTGAACTAATCATCAACCTTGACGTCATGAGGTCTTCGGAAAAAAACAAGTTAAACAAAACAACGCAAAAAAAACAAACAGCGAGAATCGCGAGGAAATAATTGCGAAAAGATTACATATCCCATAACAAGCATGGAACCGCGCATCTTTGGGGATAAATACTTGAGAAAACACCGGATTAGAACTCCGGCGTGGAAGGGGTAACCGGAAATTATTACGGGGAAGCTCAAAAAGCAACAAGAGTCATCGTTCCTTTCTCATAATGACACCGCGCATGCGTGGCAGCTCCTTGAGAATCTTCCGTGTAGCAATCTGCCCCAATACCGCCAAGTCTAAACAAGTATTTTTGTTTTGTTTTGTTTTGTTTTGTTTTGTTTTGTTTTGTTTCTATTTTTATGGCTTTGTAGTTTTTGTTTTTGTTTGTTTTCTCCTTCTGTTTTGTCTTTTTCTGTTACGGAGGATGAAGCTGGGATTTTTACTTTTGCATTTAATCTTGCTCTTTGCTCACACATCTTGCCTCGGCATTATATGAGATTTGCGTTCCATTCTCGCCCGTTCTTTGAGAACACACAATGCTTCAGACATGTATTGAGAGGCAGGCTTTTTTCTTAGTAGCCTGTTTTATTCTCCCATTTCCAAGACTTTATTACCTCCACGGGTTGTTTTTCTTGGTCGAAGGACGAACGCAATTCTTGATATATTATTCTCTACCCGCCCGCTTGCTTTTCAGCACCTTCCCCCTTCCACCCATAAGCACAGACATACTTCCTATGGCTCTGGGACGGACACTCTTCTCTAAGGGAAAAATAGAATGTGAATGAGAAGATCTTCACTGACAGGAATTATTATGTTGTGCTTGGGAGGAAAAGTACCCCCCCCCCCCCCCCCACAATGCTTTAAAAAAAAATATTGGAATAACAGACTGGTATTCCAAAAAGGCAACTCTTCAACTGAAAATCTTTTGGGGCGGGAGTCCGAGGGCCTCCCGGGCTTTTCCTCCCACCCCCCCCACCCCCCCCAGAAAACCCCGCCCACTCTTTTATTTTAAACGACATTATTCCGTCGTTTTTCTGTCAGCTCATCTAGTGCCATGGTGAGTTTGGGTCTGGATGGCCCCAGCCAAATCGCTACCTCAGAATAACAAATTTCTGTACGTCATTTTTGGCAGTTTTGAGTTACTTGGACCATGAGGTCAGAAACGAAATGTTCTATCTGCTCTTTCAAAAGTGTACAACTATTCGGAGTTCGTTATTAAGACGTTCAAAAAATGTCCTTAAAAAAACCAACTTGACCTGATGTGAAACTCAAAAACTTTGGTGTCAAATTTCTCAAAATTTAGTACTGAGCAGACAGAACTTATTTATTAATGGAACGAAAGCATTTATTAATAATTATATTCATTGTGTAACCCTCATCTTCCTCGCCTCTTGCACCGCAACTGCTCATTGACCATCTCAGCTCCGGAAATAACACGCTGGATGCGATAATACGTAAAAAAGACAACCGACAAACAAACAGAAGCTGTGATGTTCTGACAATAAAACATATATGTCGTAACCGTTTTCTCGTATCAGTTTTGAACTTTTACAAAATCCCAACAAAAAGAGGGATGCTATGCCTGATAACATACTTTTGCGACACCGGAACAGAATTCATACCTTCTGCGTATTAGGGCGAATAGGCTAATTACTACACTATAGACGCCGTGAACTTTTTCTCAGCGCAGAATCCACACTAATAATATACGTACACGAATGCTGCCAGCAAAGAAGAAAGTAAACGAACCGCTATCACGACAGCAAGACATA